GTATACACACACACACACACACACGTATACACACACACACACACACACACACACACACACGTATACACACACACACACACACACACACACACACATATATTTATTATGTGTACATGTGTATATGTAGGTGAGTAAAGTATGTCGAAGAAGAAGAATTACCGAGCTGGAAGGTCCACTTGTACGTCCTCTGAGGAGAGAAGCTGTGTTTGTCTTTACTGAGAGACAAAGGAGACGAGAGACAAACAGACTTCTGAGACTTCAGAGACAGACGGGACTGGTCCTCACTGTCACTGCTGTTACCTGGGAGACAAGGGGGGGGGTGAGAGGAGATAAGGAGACCATTGTTGAGATAAAACTAGAAAAGTTGACTGTAGAAGAAGATTAGCTGATGATGACGATGAGAGGAAGTAAGTGGTCCTTTAGATCTGACGGAGCTTTTAGCTGCGTCTGATCTTCTTAAATTGTTGCTAGGCAACAACTGAATGCGTGCTGATACAGGTCACCTGTTCAGATCACGTGACATCACAGCTCACCTGCTCCGTTCTTCTCCACCTTCCCAGGTGTGCCGAGTCGTTTCTGGTTGCGTCTCTGCTTCTTGGCCGTTGGGCTGGAGTTACAGTCCATCACCCTCTTCTGACCTGAGGGGGGGGGGGGGGTCACACAGGTAACAACTAATCAATCAGAAGAGAGGACAGAGGAGTCTCTTAGGAAGCTCAATGCCTCATCTCCTTTAGCATAGGGAACACACAACCATTCTTTCCCAAAGGAGAGGAGAGCAGCAGCCACATTTAGTTGTTAATAATAATAATAATTAAAGCTGCGAGCAGCGATAAACGGTTCCTCGCATCCTCCAGCACGTCGGGGGTACCGGCGGGACTCCGGCCTGCGCGGCCGAGAGCATCCCCGACTGTTGGACAACGCGGTCAAGAGTCTGACGTTTTTTTTCCTACGTGGACCGCGTGACGCAGGAAATGATGCTTTGCAAATAGTGCACCGCTTCCTGTATCTGCTGCAGAACACGCACAAACATGCATCATGTAGCTCTATATCAAGTGTAAACCACATCGTGTAAAAGTCATGTAAATCAGATGCCATTTGTCAAAAAAAACGCAGATTTTCTTTGGCCAGCAGGTGGCGCTGTGAGCATTAGTGGACATTAGCTCGTAGACATCCTCAGGCCATGAGTGTTATCAAGCATGTGAAGTTTGGGACCGTTTGTAACAAGTCCAGCTGAGTTACATCAGCATTTTTGATGGGGAATCACGCAAAGTAGCCACCCGCTACGGCTAAGCCATTTGATCAAATGTAAAGCTTTTGATAACTTTCTTGACATGGTACTGACAAAATTCAAAGTGGATCTGACAAAGTTCCTAGGAGGAGTTCGTTAAAGTATAGCGACTAGAAATAGGCCAAAATCTATGGAGAAATGACGCAAAAATCGAAGTGGCCGTCTTCCGGTAGGGTTTAGAGCATGGTCCCAAGAGACTTATTGTTAAGTCTCCATAGGATACATGTGCCTACCAAGTTTTATACATGTAGCTGAAACGTAGCGGTGGGGCTGCTCTTTTGAAATATTGTAGGGGGCGCTATAGAGGCAATTTCAAACGACCAAGCCAAAAAATGATATAAAATATTTCTTCCCATCACCTATGACACATGTACAAAGTTTGATGAGTTTTTGAGCATCTCAACCGACTGAACAATCAGCCTACTTTTTCATGGCAAATGATGCATTGCCAAGGCAACAGCATTCAGTGAAAATTCACAACATTCACTAAGAAGCATCATCAATGTCTTAAGGCTATCCTTATCAAATTTGAGAGTCATCAGGTCAACTGTCTAGGAGGAGTAATTAAAAGTATAAAATGTGACATTTCCTTTAGCCAGTAGGCGGCGTTATGAGTTATTGAACATGTTGGCGTTGAAGTCTGTTCAGGCTAGAAGTAGCGTCATGCTTAAGAAGTGTTGTGCAGATTGAATAATGTACTTTGGAGTTATAACAACTTTCTTTTTCATGCAGAATGAGGCAAAATGGCCACCACGTCACGCCAAGGTTCTTCCATGAAAACTCCGGATTTTGATAACTTTTCATCACAAAGGTCTTAAGAGCATCCTGAGCAAAGGACAAGTTGATCGCATAAAATCTGTAGGAGGAGTTTGTTAAAGTACGAAGGCTGAAAAATGCAAAAAGTGGGTTAGGGATCGGTTAGGGTTAGGGGTCGGGACCAAAGAAATTTAGGACATGAGACAACGTCGGGACAAGAAAGGTCGGGACATGAGACAACGTCAAGACAAGAGGGGTTAGGACAGTTGAGACAAGAGGGGTCGGGACATGAGACACCAGAACAGACACTGTTCACACATCTCACAGGTCTCACCTCTGTCCTTGGTCTCCTGTAGAGACAGCAGGGAGGTCGAGGAGGAGGCGCTGCCATCAAACCCGGGGCTGGAGTCTCCCTGCTGTTCTCCCCTGACTGCTCCTCTCTCCTCCTCCTCGCCGGCGCTCCTGGCTGGGTGGTGCTCCTCGGAGCAGGAGGCAGAGCCGGGAGCAGCGGTCGGCAGGAAGGGCCTCAGCTGAGGCTGGGGGAGGTGAAGGGTGTGAGGGGAGGGCAGAGAGGAGTGGAGGAGGTTAGGAAGCGGGGCAGGTTGCTGCTCCCTCATCATTAGGAGGAGGTGCTCCGGGGGGGTGGGCTTCTCCTTCTCGTCCGGGTCGTCCAGGTCCACCTCGTGGCAGACCAGCGCCTCAGGGCCAATCTGCGGCTCCAGCTCCTCAGTGGGGGAGGGGCCCGGGGCAGGGGGAGGCGTCCCAGCATGCACCTCTGACTGTTTTGTGGCTCCGCCCATCAGGAGCTCTTCTGGCACCTCCCTCGGCTTGTTCTCTGGGCAGGGCCAGTCCTCTGCCTTCATCGCTCCCTCGCTCCTCCTCTCTGACTCCGCCCTGCAGAGAGGTGGGGGGAGTCCTTTGGGTGAGGCTCCGGAGGCCATCTTGGAAGGGGCGGGGGGCGTTTGGGGGGAGGCAGCCTCCTCCTGCCTCCTTTCAGGGCGGAGCTTCTTGTCTGCTGCTCGCTGCTCTGCTGCTTTCCGTTTCAATGTGGAGCTGCTCCTCTTCTCAGGGATCTCCTCCTCCTCCTCCTCCTCCTCCTCC